TGTAACATACTTGGCCAATAAAGGTGATTGTCCTTATCCTTATAATGCTGTACCTTTTTTGTTGTCCACCAGATCCTGGTGGTTCACAGTGGACTGACTGCAGAGACAGGAAGGCAAGCTGAGTTTTCAATATATAAAATGGGCTGGGACACTGTGCAGGACATTTTCATTTCATTCTCCAACAACAGGCACTGATATGTGTGTGCCTTTGTATTACTTACCTTATGGGGACTGAACCGACCATTAACACACACATTGTGGGGACGAGCATTTGGTCTCCACAAGGAAATCACTGAATTTTAGGGTTGAACATGGTTTAAGGTTAGGTGTTAGGCAAGTAGTGGTTATGGTTAAGGTTAGGATAAGTCTACAGGAAATGAATGTAAGTCCCCACAAGGAATGAAAACACAGCATGTGTGTGTGCTAATTTATTATCTGTAGATCAAAACCTCAGAGTGTGTTTGTGTGTGACCCTTAAACCTTTTCTTTCCAGCCCCAGAGGCTTATGGACCATGCTGCTACCCATGACCCCCCCCCACCCCCAATGTGTACAGTCCTTTGATATTGGAGCTGGGTATGAAGATTGTTTTTTTTTTTCTCACACACACACACACACACACACACACACACACACACACACACAGATGCACACCAAGGATAACACAAAGCCATCAGTAAGAACACACTGGAGAGATGAGTCAGTCACATACAGGGCTGTAAATACGTCAACCCCCTCTCTTGCTGCAGAACTCAGTCTGCCCCTGCAGGCATGTGTGGGGAAGGCCAACAAAAAGCCATTGATCTTTTGACTGACACTGTGATGTAAACACAAGACAGGTCCATTTAACCTCCGGTGTCAGAATACACACAGTTTCTGCCACAACGTGTAAGAGTTATATCATGAAACAAAAGCAGGAAGGGGCCTCATCCTGTCTTTAGGCTGTCCCTGTGTTTTACAGGCTTTCCGTGATTGATGCACAATTATGAAAATGCTGTTTACATGTGAAAACAACGTGCATCCACACTGGCTTTTTTAGATGGATCTAATCCTTTGTCCACACTTAAACACCTGAACAACAAGCTGCACCTTTTCTTCATAGTCCTCTTTTGGGAGACAAACAACAAAACTGTGCATCGCAGTAAATATTGGGCACAGACTACATCCTGGTCCCTCTGCTCTTTGTTTTCACTTTTACTGTTTCCATGATTCTGTTTTTGACATCAGAGGACTGAGCAAAATTTGATTTGACCTCTGCTCCCAAATACTACCTGCTGAGACTTCAAAAGATTATTAATAATCATAATAAATCACACATTTAATGCTTTGTGATCAGCTATGTTGACTGATCACAGAGAAAGTTAGAGGCGAGAGTTGTTTTCTCAGTCCACACAGCAACTGTGAGCCAGTGTTTTCAGATTTATACACTCTAAGAGACATTTACAGAAAGATCTAACTTCAAGTGAGAACATGTGGATGAACAGACAAAATAGAGACTGATGTTATCAACTAGTAGAAATGTTTGCGCCACCTATAGGAAAGGTGGAGCAGGTTGTTTTTGTAATAAAAATGGCCTAGCATAGTCACAATTTCATCTTTGTGTTGAATTATTGTAACTCTATTTGGGAATAATTCAAGTTTTGTGTAACATTAGCAGTAACCAATAACATGTTCTGGTAACACCAAACTGTACCTAAGTGTAGTTACATTTGTAGAGAAATACGTAAATCTGAAGCTGCAGAATACAGTAGGATGGTAGCAATACTTTATTGAACAACTGGAAGAATTAAGTAACTATCAGGGTGAAAGATTGGCTTACACCGGAGTCATGTAATGCTGAGGTGATTATGTTACTGAGATAGTTTTGGTAAAAACATCCTGGATGGGCTGAAAATGATAGAGTCAAAGGTGACTGTTTGGAGTAAAACTATCTCAGCAGCCTGAGGGCCAGAAACAGAAAGACAGATGGAGCGAGTGTTTCAACGAGAGCAGTCTCTTATTAACAATAAATGCCTTTGAACAAACTGTCGGGACTTTTTTTATGCAAAGGTGCAAGGTGATGAGCCAAGAGCCTACGTTAGGCCCTACATGTATTACAAGCCCCTTTCTCACGTGCACCTTTTCATGTAAATATATTGTCAATTTTATGTAGTTTGTGTTTTTTTTTTCTTTTCTAACAAAGCTGAGACAGTAGCTAAAGTGTGAATAGAAAGTGGTCAAATTAACATGAAAGTTTCTGTCTTCAACCATCATTATCCATAAAGCATCTATAACAAATATACTTAGTGCAGTGACAAATAACCATGTGAGAACAATGTGACAATGTAAATGGGAACACATGGTTTGTTAATGCAGGTTTAAATTTTGACATTGAATTGTCAGTGGACAAAACCAGTTGGCTTATCTGTACATTCATTGTGAACACGTACAGCACAGCCACTAGAGTTTGACTGTAAAATGTCTGACTGTGCAGAAAGCGTGAGACAAAATGCAAAAGCGGTTAATGAAAATAAAACATTTCCATTTAGTTTCACACAGTCATGCCACAGTAATGAGGCATAGGAATATTGGTTTTTACTTTTCTTTATATCTACGGTAGTTGTTTCATTTATGAATAACATACAGGGCAATAAACACAAGGATTTCTACCACCTCAACTGTTCATTTTTGACAAATATGTACATACAATATAAAGAATGTACATATTTCTCAATATGCACATTTGCTGTATGACTGTACGTTGATGTATTTTAAATCTTGAACACTGGACACCCAAAATATCTCCTCCCACTGCTGCTCTATAGCCTGTCAAAAGTTAATTATGAGCACAGGGTGGACGACATGGCTGACGCTCCTGGTGGGAGTCAGCCCTGGTGGGTGTCTTATTGCCAATCCTTCTCTTAAAACTGCACGGTTGTTATTTTTAAAGGTTCAGTTGTTAATTTACAGGATGTGTTATGCTGAATGTAACAGCCTCGGTTTGAAAGATACTGGGGGCTGATAGAGCCATTAGCATTAGATGGCAGGTTATGCAAAATGAAGCTGAGTGGTCAAAACCTAAACCAAATTGTCAGCACACCAAGAAAGGTTACTGTAGGAATGTGCACAGGTTTAGCTTACAGCTACAAGACTTTGCATGTTCTCTGCTGCACCCTCTGCTTTTCACTTCACACTACAGGTTCCACTGCTTGTGGGTGTCCAAGGACCCAGGTCATAGGTGGAAAACAGACAAATACAATAAATCAAATGCACATCCCTGGCTTCTAGAAGTACTTTATTGATTACATTATGTGAGATGCTGCTGCATGCATCTAGAAACATTTCATCTAAGTTACATGTCATATTCTGTGCAGATCATAAGACAAACTGTGAATATGCACATGTTGTTGGACACAGGTCTGGTCCAAAATGTCCCACACATGTGGAAAGCTGTCCTTCTGATCAACTTCCTTCTATTGAATAAACACATTTTTAATGTATAATCAGTACAACAACAACTGTCGGTACAAACACAACAGGGAGGAGGGAGATGCACACTGGTCTGTCGAATACTGTATGGTTACAGGGACAAAGACAAGATGGGATGTAATGTCCAAATCACCAACAAAAATGGAGGACAGCATATACGTTGTTAGTGTATTGTTAATACTGGAACATATGCATGTTTCATGTGACGCCTCTGTCTGTGTGATAGAGCATGCACACAGACACAAACACTATTGCAAGTTGTGCCCTTATTAAAATACCATAGCCGGTCTGTGTAGCAGCGAGGGCAGTCTCAGTGCTTCATATCTTAATCATGATTACCCCCAAGCAGTTCCTCTGTCACTTGTTTCGTGGCTGTCTCAATGTGTGTCTCATAAAAAGTCCTCCATCCTTAAATGTTAAAAACAAACCTGATGTCAAACACTACTGTGCTTGAATGTAAAATCCAGATCTTTAACTCCTGGATCTTGCTTTTGTACTGTGGCCACGGGGACCTCAGGGCAGCTAATTAGTTTAAAACCTGATGTGGCTGTTGCAACATGCTGCTGATTGTCGTACTGCAAATGACACTGAAGTCTTGCACCAAGATTCAAGGTTTCTTTTAAAGGATAAACCTTGTAACATCTTTACTTTTTTTTGCCAGCACATCCCATGAAAGAGTCCAAAATTAACAATAAATAATTTATCCTACTAACAACCCTGTGTAGCCATGTAAATAAGTCAATCCCACTTACACTCTCCTGCTGCCATAATACTCACAAATATATATTAATCCGCAGCTCAAAGTAGTCCCAAACAAATGCAGTACTTATTTTTGTTTGAGTAACATTTGCTGAAAACTCCAGTGCCCAGCTGTTTCAGGAAACGACTAAGCTTTTTTAAATGAAACTATATATTTATAACCCTGTTTTAAGGTTTACAGCTTCAGTAGGAGTAAACTGGCATGGGGATGATTGTCCCATTGGAAATCCAAATGCATTGATAGCTGGACAATAAGAAAAATACTGTATAGACTTTCTTTTCTAAATAATTATCCTGTCAGACAGTAATGGTGTACTGGGAAAAATTATTTGTAAAGAGCGAGTAACAGTTCTTGAGTTTCACTGTATGTGTCACATTAGTCAACAACTACCAAAAGCTCATTCTTCACCTTGGAAATAGAAGCTTGATCTAAAGAAGTAAGCCTAAATATTTCTGTCAAACCTTGTTTTCACTCATATTTTAATACTGTATGTGCTAATTCAAAATACACAATGTGGAAATTCATTTAATCACTTGTTACCAAGTTATTCCAGTATTCAACTGTTTAAACAGTGTTAAAAAGAGAAAAACAAAGAGACTGGGGACCATGAAAAGGAAGAAGAGAAGGGAGAACTAAAATAATGACAGGAGAAAGACGTTTAGCAAGAAGCCAACTGCAAGCAGCAGCAACTAAAGAATGCAAGATATGGTGGAAAAGGATGGAATAAATTATGGTATAAAAAAGAAGCAAGGAGAGAAAGGAAGCAAAGAAGAAAGCAAGAAAGAAACATGATAGAGAAAGAGCAAAGAACCAAATGAAGAGGGACATACAGTAAGAGAGAAGAACAAAGAAATAACTGTCATAAAACAAACAGATAGATGATTGACTGAAATGTTAAAGTTCTCAGGAGATGAGGCATAGACACACACACACACACACACACACACACACACACACACATACACACACAGTGACCCGAGTAGAAGCTAGTGATGGTCTCTGACAGAGGTTGTCTTCTTGTTGAACTCACAACCACACACGCTGTTTACATGGTGCTCAGTACACTCCCACTGGGATGAGCTGTCATCGCCATGGTTACAGTCTGAGTTCAGAGTGAGGACAGAAAACCAGTTTTCACCAAGCTAAAACTAAAGCCCTAATTTAACACACACTAGCGTAGATGCATGTGTGTGATGCAAAAGCCTGTGATTGTTTTCTGTGTGTCGCCATAATTTTATTTGTTTTCTGCTCAGGCGCTCGCGCGCTCTCTCTCTCTCTCTCTCCCAGTCAGTCTCAGGGTCTCTCTCCCTCGATGTTGGTTCTCCTGTGTTTCTGGTGCCAGAGTGCAGTCGGCAGGTTCTGGCAGCCCTGGTACTCTCTCCGAATCTCACTATCGGTCAGAGGTGGTGTGGCATTGCAGGGAGCGCCCGCCAATGTCACATTTAAAAGGCCAGCCCACGGCTGCACCATGTGAGACATCCCTGCCACCTGGTAACATCATTGGTGGAAGAGGAGATTAGAAGATGATTTAGAAGAGTAAAAAGATTAAATACCTAAATGTAGTAAATCACCTTCCCCAGGTGGTCCAGGAGGCAGGTGGCAGAGCTGATACGGGACCAGCTGCTGTCCTCCCAACCTTGGCTCAACCTCTGGTTTTGGTGGCTGTGGGTCTGCCATGTTTGGCTCTGGATCAGAACCACATTGAGGTGTTTCTGGGACCCTCGCAGCCTCTTTGATAGAACACCAGTGTAGCTCTGATCGACAAACAGCAAAACGCGAGTTGCCCTGCAGCCAGCTAGGTCAGTCAGCAGCTCGCTGACTGAGTATCGCTCCTTCAGATCAGCCTGGAGAGATGGAGGAGGAGGAGGAAGAGGGACAGTGTCAGGGAGACACAGATGATACTGTACTTTTTGGAAACCTTTGGAATAGGCAAAGTTTCAGAAAAATGGAGAGGGTACACAGAGAGGTGTGAGTATCTTTGAATATCCTGACAAGTTTGATGTTTATCGCACAAACACTGGCTTCTGATTTCACTAGGTCTGTTTCCATCACACCTTTTGCTTTTCCTCCTCAGCCATTTTTGCATTGCACTTCTTAAGTCAATTCATCCTCAGTGCCTGATCATTGTGTGTGTGTGTGTGTGTGTGTGTCTCTTACAATCCCGTTGAGGTTGGCGTCCCACAGCAGCATGGTGCCGTCACTACATGTTGGTGAGTTCAGGTAGAGCACCAACGTGTCAGCACAGTGCTGCTTCCTGCAGATGTACGACACGTGGTTACGAATCACTGCTTTCTCCGTTGCTGAGTACACACCCTCTACATCATCTGTGTGGGTGGAGAAGGGCAGAGGAACCAGACGTAGTAGAGAGGGTCAGTTGGCCAGGCCAGTCTTTGGAAGAGTTTTACTTTATATTGTTTGCTACTTTTACACCAAAATTTGTAACACATTAATTGTGAGACCTTTTTTTAATTTAATTTGACAAGATAATAAATATATGGAAATAAATGGCAAGCTGCAAACAGCCGACCAACAAATACCAGTGAAGCAACAGAAAAAGATTTTTGGAACAAAATGTGTTGTGCAGCAGTGGAAAGCAACTGTAAGTACATTTACTCATGTACTGTACTTAGGTACAGTTTGGAGGTACCTGTACTTTACATGAGTATTTCCATTTGCTCCTCCTGTGTACTTGTGCTCCATTACACTAGAAAATACTGTAGCCAGCTGTAGTTACTAGTTACTTATTGGGATTTTGAGGGCATGATCTAGTGAATACACGTAAAGAGACCCAAATAAACTCATGGGAGGTAAATGTAGTGAACTCTACAGTAAATAAGGAGTGATTTCACACATAGCTGTGAGACAGAAGCAAGAAAGCATCCTGAATGTTTACAGAGCGACACTGTCCTACCAGGAAGCTGTCTGTTGCTGGCAAAGAAGGTCTTGATGTGATCACTGTGGAAGCCGTTGTTCTGGAGCATTTTATAGAACATCTGAAGGTTCTGAATGTGACGCTGGAACATCATCTGCTGCTGCCAGCCTCCTGCACACACATATGCAATTGTTTGCATTTCTCATTTTCAAGGATTCAAGATTTTTTGCCATTTGACAGTCTAGGCATATAGGAATTCTCTCCTATATGCTCTCCTTTGGAGTCAGGTAAGGAGTCAAAAGCCAGAAAGAACACTAAGTCTTAAAATAAAAAAGTTACATAAAGGCAACAAAACATTAAAACTGCAATACACAAAAACAGGGTAATAGTATTTTCCCCAGTGATCTTCAAACATCGCCCTTAGTAATTCACATGGTGGAGTTGGATATGTCATTACGCTTGGTGAGGTAGTGAGGGGTTATTGCACATACAGTATATTCTCACATTTCTCACGTGTTCATATTTGCCATCAGTCTTACTGCGGCAGGGAAAAACCTGTTGTAAAGTCTCGTTCTGTGTGTGATGATACTGTCCACCCTGCTGTGCCTGAGGCTGTAGGTGTAGTTTTTGTGTCTGAGCACGGCGTGAGCTGGGTGGCGTGGACCTCTGAGTATGTCCTCATGGGGAATTGACTTGCATTCTTTACCTACATTTTAAGGGGACTTGTCCAAACCTTAATCTAAACCACTACTTGCCTAACACCTAACCCTAAATCAAGTTGTCACCCTAAAATTCAACAATTGACATGGTGGCGAGTAGCATATGGTTGGTGGCCCGACACCTTATTCAAACACTTTATGCCTGTAGGTCGTTTATCACTCTGACTCTCCACTGTCTTTGTATGCAAGAGGGCAACCTCAGACATTTATGATGCAGAAATGGGAAATGCAAACTCTTTGCAAGCTGTGGGTACATGTAGTCGTTTTAGTTGACTGTAACTGAACTAATGGGAATGATAAAGCAACCACTTCTGTCTTGAAATTCAGCCCACAGGTGGTTAGGGCTTCACACTATGTAATATGTGTGGTTGATGATTTTTCTTCTTTAAAAAAACAATTAAGGCTTAAGTGGATATATGTGTGAGGTTGTCTGCTTAAACTGACATGCACTCAGTCATGAGTGTTGCCCATTACTGGTTTCAGTATCTAAGATGGCAAAAGACTCAGCTTCAAGTTTCAAAACATGCCTCAGACCTCAGTGTTATGGTACAGACTTTGTCGGTACCTGTGCATGTTATAGAATTTTTAAACTAAAAGATCAAAATACATTGTAGTCGATTGGAAGGACAGGTGGCATTGATTCAGTTATGGACAACACAGACGCTACCTGAGATAAGCACAGCATGGTCACAGGTCTGGTAGAGCCGGCAGGAGAGATGAGTGGCCAGCGGCTGCTGGTGGCAGCGTCTGGTATTCTTATTCAGCTCACAGCTGGAGGTGGGCACACTGGGAGAGCCCATTGGCAGTAGCTGAGGGCACGTTGCAAACTCTGCATGGTCTGTTGGAGGCAGGGCCACAGATGAGTTCAGCAATGACAAATGATCAGACAGTAGGTTTATATGGGTCACAATCAATAACAACAATTAAGGACTACTTAATCTCCAGAGGTAGGATTTTGGTTTTATCCTGGTAATTGTCTGGGATTGCCTTAACAGCAAAGATAACATTTTGCCAGAGGCCCAGGTTGCTGGCAGAGGCTGCAGGTGTGGGTGGTCTTGGAAGAACATGAGAATAACTCTGAATTTCACTCAAAAAGCCTTCTACTAGGAAAAGTGAAACCAAAGGCCACCCCGCCTGTAAAACTCAAGTGGATTTTAACAAGCCTAGGTTCATCCAGGCAATTTGACATAATATTCATACATTTTTTCACATCTAAAACTTGCAAAATCAACTTTGAGTGGGATACATTCAATGGACACTGTTACAAGGGGAGTGAAACCAGTGAGCTTTATTCTAGGCTGACATTTGTGATTTTGACTGAAATACCTTGAAAAGTATTAGATGAATTGTCAAAACATTTAGACTCAAGCTCCTCATGGATGGATGTTATTAACTTTGATCACTTACCCGGTGAAATATATCTGCTACACAGATTGGCACAACATTTTGTAGATGTTATGTTTCCAGAGGACATATACTGACTGGTGATCCTATGACTTTGGCACAATTGTTTCAGAAATTTAATTTGCCCAGTATTTGTCCAGTGGCTGCAAACTGGTTCATTACAACTTTGAAAGGTTTGAGGATGCTCCAGCTTTCAAGGATTAATAATTAATTAAAGCTACAGTAAATAACCTAAGCTGCACTAGCATGATACTCGAAATCAATCCACTCTGCTCTGCCCAGCACTCACTCTCCCTGCTCCACCATGCTCTACTATGGCTACTATGGCCACCTATGCTCTGCCCAGCTCTTCAGATATTTGTCATTATGAAATTACAATAAATGCAAATGCAATAAAATTGAAAATCTCTGATTGGTTGGAGGTCAATCCCACTCAAAACCTTTTAGAAGCTAATCTCTCTGCTCTGCTGTCAGTGCTGTTCAATGGGTCTGGGTGACAGGAGGCTTCGACAGCACCTCGCCACATTATGACAAGTTTTGGAGCAGATTTCTACAACAATATCTGAAAAAAGTTACATACTGTATCTTTAATCTTTTCTGTTTTACCTAACAGTGGTTATTATACAGGCTACACTGTTGATGAGCATTTCTAATTGTGTGTGTGCTCTAAGTTGAATGAATAACAGTGCATATTTTCTAGTTTTCGATATAACACAAGCCCTGTGATAAACTGGTGACCTGTCGTCCCCCCCCCCCAAGCTTGGCACTACTGGCATTCATGTGGGTGGCAGAGTAAGAATTTCATTGTACAGGGAAACGCATTTCTTTACTGTGCATATGACAATAAACACTTTGACCTTGACCTTTGACCTATTGTCTTCTGTTACTGTATGTAGGTCTGCAGTATATTAAGCAATATGCATGCAATAGATGGACTGTGTACTGATGTCAGTTAAAATGTGTACCCCCACCACAAATGCCAAACTCCACCTATGTGCTTAGCGAAGCTTAGCACAAAGACTGAAACAAGTGAGGAAACTGCCTCCAACAAGAAGAAAACTAGGCCTTCTAGATCCTTCATGTTTGTTAGGGTTTTGTTCCGACTCATTAAATCCTAATAAAATGAGGGATTTAAGACCTACCCACACATCTGAGTCTCTGTGTTCGGTTGTTGTCTCCGACTCCAACCACCAGTGGGAGGAAGTGGACCTCACAGAGGCCTCCAATGGCCCACGGCTGCCACTGCTAGTGGTAATGCTACCACTGTGCAGCACTCCACTGGACAACCGGCCATGTCCATAACCAATAAGCCTCTCTGGCCCGGCCTGGCGACGCTTCAGCTGGTTCTGACAGTGGCCCTTCAAAGCCAGAGTCAAACACTCCTCACCTGAAGACACAAGACAGAAGCCAGGGTCAAAAACTGATGATACACATTGTAAGTGCAGGTTTAGTCACACTCTCCTGCTGTGGAAGATAAGATGTGAATGCTGGAAGCTTGGCCTTCTTCTTCTTTTTGCATGAAAAGGTGATATGGTGCTTGTTACAGGTTTGTGTATGAGTCTCACCTTTTGAAAATGTGTCACTACTTTTGTCAGGAATGGGTTGATACTCAAAACCTGCCAGAATAACTTGGGTGGATTTTAAACAACAACAAAAAACAAAATAAAAACACAGAACAGTACAAAAAGTATTCCTGGTAAGTTCTTGGTGAATTCTTTCCCCCAAATATGCTCCCACGCTGGGCTGGTTCCTCATCTCTGTGATTTGTGTAACATTACAACAATATACACACAAACTGCAGCTTGATCATTCTGGGAAAAAAGTAGTTTTGGGTTCTTCCACCTTTTTCCCCTTTATCCATTTAACATTCTCACTAACCAGCCTTTAAGGTTATATCTTATCTTATCTTCATTTCCACAGCTATTGCTCTTCTGCAAAACTCCCTTTTCCTCCTCTGTTTATTTTTAATTCATGTCCTTTTCAGGTTAAATGAAGTCTGAAGAAAGTTTGGCTCTAAAGACGCTGATCCACATGCATCTACAGGAACCAGCAGGGGGCGCAGTGCTGTGCATGCATAAATAATTGACAGGTGTGTGCTTGTGAAACACATGGCCGAATTCACCTCAACATCTGGTGCTAACCCCTCTCACAGCAGGAGGTCAGCAACTTGCACTTTAACACATGTTACAGGACTTAGGGGACCATCACATGCACTTTCTGCCTCCTTACACTGTTTTGATATAAATAAAGTACTTTGAAAACTTCTTTTACTCCCTTTTTGCCCTTTAAGCCACAGTAAAGTGGTTGTTTGAAAAATTAAAATGAAAACTTGAATTTTTTTCTTTTATAAATGCTGCTGTTTCATGAATATGACCAAAATACTCTGACTTTGCCTTTAATGTGATCACTTACAGCATTTGACTGTCAAGCTGTCAGACCTGCATATCTTACCTCAAACCTTACACCTAAATGAAAGGTTTCAGAACTTTCATAGCTGTAGCCATTTTGGAGCTGAACTGTTATTGTCATTTTTTACACTTAATGCTAAAAAAGTAGTTCAATAAAGAAGTTGTGGTCAGCCAAAAATATCCTCACCTCACTCTAAGTCTAAACCTCAGGTTGGTCATACCAGTACAAAAACACACTCACTAACAGACACACATCAGGTGTTGCTGAAGAAGTAGCTGTGGGTGAAACCCCTCTGAGCAGGAAAATGTCCTGTCAGAGAGGGCGAGTCACGCACATTCGACTTTTACTTTCTGTTCTTCAGTTATAGGCAAAACACACACTCACACTAAAACCGCATATACGCACACACACACACACACACACACACACACACAGTATAAAGAGTGTCTTGACTCACCCAGGTAAATGCCATCCAGGTGGGAGCATCTCTTCTTTGTCACATTCACATCCACATAGAAGAGGACCACTGGGTGTCCAAAGTTCTCCCCGGGGCTCGGATCCAGCACCAGCACGGCATCGTGGGCCATGGAGCCGGGGAAAGGCGGCTGATGTCTGTGGGGTCGCTCCCCATGGTTTATCACCTGGCTGATGCTGAAACCTCCTCGTGGTTTGGAGCCCACTGTTCCACTTGAGGAGTCTGGCAGAATTGCCACAACTTTGTCTGAGTTACCTGGAAGGTTTGGGAAGAATAGCCTGTTATTAGGAAAATGAACTATATATAGTTTAAAAGACAAACTAGAATATAAAATATGTGCATAGGTTACTAAATCTATTATGGTCATTTGAAGGTGATATGATGTAGGAATGTGTCAGGCCACTGTAACACTAGCAGAACGATACGTGTCTGTGTCTACAGTATCTACAGGAATCAGTGTTACTCCATTTAAATACATCAGCTAGTAAGTGGTGTATGTGATATTCTACTTTTATCCATTTCAAATGACTTTATATGTTTAAATGTGTTTTTTTTTCTTGGGATTTGTCCTTCTGAATTACTAGATAATCATACAATGTACTATCAGGGGCTTTATTAGATTTTTTTACTTATATATTACACCACATACAGGGTGGGCCACGGAAAAGTTGGCTGCCTCCAAAACAATCCACCTGTTTGTTCATCCTATCGCTGGAGGCGGGCTACTTTTCTGTGGCCCACCCTGTATTATCCAACAGTGTCTGTAGCTATATAATAATTTGGTTGTTTGTTGTAATGCTAATCTAAAGAAATTAGATTTTATCTTTCCTAATATATTTGGAGAAATATAATTTTGAGTATTTGAGCTAAAACAGAAATGGCTCTTTAATTTCTTTAAGGTGGTATAAAGACCATTGTATAAGGTCTAAAATTCATTTGTTAGATTTATTTGATTGTGTTATTGGATTATTTTAAGACAAGTACATCCTGCATATTGATTGATTGATTTTGTTAGATTTTAACCTTCCATGAACATCTTATCACATTTTGAATATTGTCTGACACAGAATACTGAACATCATCAACTGGTTGTACACTGTTTTCTCACTGAACACATACTGTATCATCACCTATTGGCTCCGACATGTAAACAGCCACAGCAGACAGTGGCAGGTGGGTGAGCCGCCTGCACTCGGCCTCAGAGAGGGAGGACATGCGGAGACACCAGTCCAGCTGGTCCCATTGCAGCGACTGGAGGCCTGAATGGACCCAGCGCTCCAGCTGGGCCGAGGCCACGCTGCCTGCTGGGGCCACGGCTGCACTGTGGAGGATAAGGATGGAGAGCAGGGCCGCAGGAAGCATCAGGAGCCGCATCATCACACCATCTACTTGTTCCTTAGATCTACTGTTGGTTGCACCTTTTAGTGTTTTTTGCTTTTCTCAGTTTTCCAGGTGTAAATATGCTTTCCTTTTTTGTCTCCACCTTTGTCCTCACTGTTCTTCAGATTTGTCCTTTTTCTGAACCTTACTTCTGCTTTTCCTCTTAGTTCCTCCTTTTCTTTCCTTTTGACCTTTTCCCAATTATTCCTTTTCTTTTCTGTACTTGCTTTAAATCTCCTTGTCCTCTCGTTTTCCTTTTATTTCTCTGTATTCTTTCTATTCCATTACTTTGACTCTTCACACCTGCTTTCTTGTGGTTTTCTTTAATTTTTTTTGGTCAGTCCTTGAACTTTTCCTGCTTGTCTTCATCAAATAGCAAATTCAAACACTTTCTGTTTTCTTCCCTCTCTCAGAATTATCTACTGAAATGTCTAAACACAAAAATAAATTTAGTCTTTTCTGTGATATTCCTTTTTCCTTATTCGCACTTTATCTGGAATTGAGAGAGTGACGTTCATCCCAATGTTGCACTACAACATTTTTTTTTTCATATATCGGATAACAGATAACTTTCTCCTCTTCTCTCTTTCTGCTTTCTGTTTTACTTCTTTTTTTCTGGATTTGAAGAAATGGAAAACCTGTTACTCTGTCTTTGTTTTAGTCTTTATATCTTCTTTCCTTGCTTCTGAGTGGATGTGGCAGACACCAATATCCTCTTGTGGTTGAGCTTACAATGAAACCCTTTCAATCCTTTCTTGCTTCACTTGTTCTTCTTAGTTCCTCTTTTCTCCTGGATTTCAGAGGGGACAATATATCCAATATTCCCCAAAGGCGCCAGTTCAGACCATTTTGGTTGTTGTCTTTTGTAGATAGACTGACATTTCCACCCCTTCGTCGTCTTCTTTTTTTATTCCTCTTTCAGGGGAATTATTTATTCAGTAGAGCTGGGGCGGCTTCAGGCTCTCTGTTAGTTTAGAAGGTGATAAATCATCCTGCGCTAAGAAGACTTTGTCCTGATGAACAAGACACAGCTCTCAGAGGACAGATCCTGTTCCTGACCAGTGTGTCCTGCAGACTCTTTACTGTCAGTGACGCCCAGAAGACAGAAGCACTCCCACAGCTTGACCCGCTCACTGCTCAGCCTCTGTCTGCTCACTCTCTCATGATCTTTTTATCTAGCTGACTCTCTCTCTCTCTCACACACACATGCACACACACTTTCTCTGTGTGCAAGCTCTGACATGCCAGAAGGAAAGAAGGGAGGCTCCAGAAAGGAGGAAAGGATGAGTGGGAGAATGGAGAGGACAAGACAGAGGAAAAGAGAGGGTGGTAAAGGTAAAACAGACGATGAGAGATGAGAAAGAAAAAAGGCAGAAGTGAGAGTAAAGAAGAGAATGGACAAGGGACAGCGGGACAATAGAGGAGATAAGGGATGAGGGAAGAAGATGAGGAAAAGATGAACGAAAGGAAGGGAGAGAGAAAGAGTGGGAGGAAGTGAAAAGAAGGTGGGGGAGAGAAATGCAAAGGGAAAGAAATGCCAGAAAAGTGGAAAAGGTGAGAGAAAAAGTAGAATGAGGTAGGAAAGGACAGGAAACTGTACAGAAGTGATAAAAAGGGGAAAGACGAAAAGAGCAAGAAGGAAGGAAAAAGGAAGGAGAAAAAAGAAGACATGAGAATAAAGGAGGAAAAAGGAAGGAGATATAAAAGGAAACTGGGAAAAGTGAGAAGAAAGATGAAGGGGAGTAAAAGAAATGTGAAAAGAAAGGAGAAACTATAGGAGAGAAGGAAATTGAAAGAAACAGGGATAGGGAAGGAAAGGGAAGAAGTGAAGGATAAGGAAGCAAAAGAGAAGAGGATGGAAGGAGAGGGGAAAGGAGACTGAGTATTAGGTAGAAAACGGAAGTGGCAAAGAGGAAGAGGAAAAGAAGTGGGGTGGCAGGAAACATGAATGATGGATGGAGAGGAAAAGTGAAGAGGAGCAAAAGGATGAAAGAAAAAGAAGGTAAGGAAAAAGGAAAGTATGGGAAACTAAGGAATTGAGAAAAAGGAGCAGGAAGAATAAAGGGGCAGGGGAAGGAAAAAGGTAAGGGAGAAGGAGGAGAGGAAAACAAATGGAAAAATGAAAAAAGGGAATGAGGGGTGATAAGAAGAAAGGGGAGGAAGTAGAGAAGAAAAGAATGGGACAGAGGGTCAAAAGAGAAAAGAAATGAAGAAGTGAGAAAAACATTGACAGAAAAGAGGGAGAAGAAGAGTGAAATTTATATAAGGAGGTGGGGAAACAGGAAATCGAGAGGAGCAGGGAGGGAGGGGAGGAGAAAGCTGCAGGCCATAGCTCAGATGAGCCCTCTAGTGATGACACATGATGTACAAACATTGTTAGGTCCTCAGCAAAGAAATGACAGTAGGGGACCAAGTGAAGCTGACATGAAGATTTTTATCAGGTTAAGTAGATAAAAGCACTTTTTGGACACTGACAGTTTAATTTGGAACAAGGAAAGACAAAAAAAAAGTTTCTAACCATTATGTGACTGTTTTGTTTTTCTGACAAGCTGTCCTCATTACAGCTGTCAATGAGGAACGGTGAACCCGGTTGCTTCAAATAAATAAATGTTGACTTCAGAATTCCTACAGAAAATTCAAAACTTAATCATTTATTAAGTTGTTTATGTTTGCGAATTAAAGTACATGTACCCTCATATGCACCCACAGTTTCCTGTGCAACTTCACACTGTGGTGGATTGATACACAGTGCAAGAAAACATTCTATACCAAAGCTGACGGGAATTTTTTTTTTTTGCAGCTGGCTTTTAATTCAGTAAAATGGGATAGAAGAATATAGCCTACTTATTTTACTTAAGGACTGTCCAATAGTAAATGTTTCTTGCCACCACTGACTGTTAAAGAAATTATATTTAAAAAGATCACAACAAAATATGTAGCTGTAGATCAACACCAGTGACGTGCGGTGAGGTTGGCAGCTGGTGAGGCACTAACTCTTTACAGTCAGATTTACAAATACAAATTGTCTGTTAACAGACAATGCGTTGTGTTTTATATCTCATATCAACATTCTTCACACAAATGTGACCCATATTTAATTTGAGGTTAAAATTTATTCCAATTGAGCTTATTTCTAACTAGAAATAATAAAAGTTTATGGTATTAACTTTACTGGTACACGAAATCCATTTGTCAGCTAGTATGTATTACAAACCCTTTTACCGTTCGAATCCAATATTAAAACAAATGTTTTCAATAAAGAAGATCCTTCTGGACAAAAATGTCCAGACTGTCAAAAATGTTTTGATTGAAAGTCCAGATTTGCGAATTTTCTCAGCTTGGAAATGTAATCTTCCATTTTGATAAGGCGGATTGTAAAGGAAATATAAACAAGCACGAAGAAGATTGTAGGTAGCGCAAGAATCTGTGGGCTCACTAGCGCCCTCTGCC